TACATGTATGTTTGTATACATGTATGTATGTATACATGTACGTTTGTATACATGTATGTATGTTTACATGTATGTTTGTATACATGCACGTATGTATGTACGTATGTATGTATGTATGTATGTATGTATGTATGTATGTACGTATTTATGTATATATGTGACATGTGCAATAGACATCTCAGGAAAAGCTAGCATGACACATCGGTCTTTCTCACAATTGAAATAGATGTTAAATTGTTTCCCTCTATTATACTTAATTACCAAACATATACCCATGTATATAATTAACTATGTCTATCATAACAGACGATTACATGGTTAGAAATGAACTTTTTCTACCAGGCAGTAAAGTACTCGCTGCCAGAGTCAAAGGGCAGGCAGCAAATTTACTCACCCAGGCAAAATCTTTGGGGCTTTTACTACGGGTTATTAGGAATTTTGGGGGGCAAGTTCTTGTTGCCAACGTTGAGAGACGCAAGTAAACTAACCCTTGTAGGCAGCAAAACTGCTTGCTGCTTGCTGCCCATAATCTCGAACCCTGCCGCTACATATGATAATAATTAACGTACACTCTCTATAGATGGCAGCAGGGGGCATGTGACTCACCAACACTGAGGCAGAACTGTAGCGTATTGACTGCACCCTCTCCCTTCAGGAAGTGTATAAATGGATAGAGCAGACTTTGGTCGTCCAGGATTTCTCTGACGTTTAACTTCAGTGCCTGAAAACATTCCAGCATTGATTTACAGTACACAATCTTTATTCCAAAATTCTCAAAACCGAAAGTTTTTTTGTGGAGGTCGTCTGCACACCAAAGCTCGCGTTTGGCTGCACAAGGTTCACTGCAGAAATATTAATGTGTTTGGCATTACTCACACATATTGCAGAGATGCCAACACTTTTCTGAGCAAACTGTAGTGAGGATGTCTGAAATCTGTAGTCCGAGGGTCCCGCAGTGACCCGAGTATGCTAGGGGGGTTCGGGACATGCCCCCCCGGAAAATTTTTTATTCCGAGATGCAATTTCCTGCATTCTGGGACCCAAAATGACAATACGTTCATACTGATATTTGCTGCTAAATACATGTAGTTATTTTCAATCATGTTATATCAATGGAACACTGAAACAAAACACTTGAAATATCATCAAAATGATTTTTTTCGATCGTAATAAAAATCGTAGTTGTATGCAAACTGGTCGTAGTGGTCAAAATGCAAACGAAATTCGCATAAAATACAGATAAATCGTAGTGGTTGGCATCTCTGATATTGTACTGTACCGGTACAGCACTTGGCCACTTGAAAACTTGGGTCTTAGTATACTGGCTAGTTGCAGGATATACGGTATCAGAAGTAGATAACACTAACAGGGAAGGAGTGTGACTTCAATAAACAAGGGAAATTCGTCATATACTAGCCTTAGAATACCTACGATTTACTACGCGTAACTCGAGCAACTTGAGCTCAAATCGTACACAGTACATTCGCCTAGCATCGTGCGAAATGGTTTTCTCGTATACACCCGCAATCCAGAGATACAGACTAAAACGTACAACACGATTTTCCATTATGTTGCCAGCAAACTGAATGTATAAACCGCCTAAATTGAAACAAAATATACGATATACGATTTGAGCTCAAGTTGGTTGAGTTACGTGTAGTAAATTGTAGGTATTCTAAGGCTAGTAAATGACGAATTTCCCTTGCTTATTGAAGCCACACTCCTTCCCTATTATCTACTTCTGACGGTATGTATATCTGCACTGTACTACCATTCCCAAATCCGAAAAATTCCCAAATCCGAAAAATTCTGAATTCCAAAACGGATTCTAGATTGTGTACTGTATTAACAGCAGATCTTAGTCAGGTGAAGAATGACAGCTGGACATAGATAAATGGTCAAGGACACAAGAAGCTGGAATAACAATCAATGTGATACTTGTGTCCTCACCAAAACTGCTTACAGATAATGCATAAACTTAGGGTACCCACATATTTATTTGAATTTTTTATAAAGAAATTTGAGTTATAATACTTTCTTTAATAGCATATCTAGCACAATACGCTATTTAAACGATGTCAACATATCAATATACCAAATAAAATTATTAGAATGGTAGGCAGCCACTAACAATAGTGGTTGTATCAATACACTATAATAAGGTTAGATTTCATGTATGTATCTACGAGCATACACAGACTGTGACATATTTATCTAATACATGATTGAACTTTTTCTCTCGAAATAAATGAATATGCGATTTTTGTTGTCACGGTGGCTTTTTTTAAAGCATTGACCTCACCCAGTCACCCCTCAGATATATACGTATTTGATACTCACATTTTTAACTTTTGGTCGCATATCTTTATTAATACGAAGAATGAGATTCTCCAGCAAAGGCACAAGGGGTGAAGGAGGTTCATGACTCACAGTCATCTAAAAGAGAACACATACAACACTACTGTAGTACATAGGAAACATGGCTGTATAACGCTGCCAGGGTCTACGTCTCCCTGGGTACTGCCGGAACGTACCCTGGGTACGGTCCGGTATACTGGAACGTAACCTGGTACTATCTAATATGCTGGACCGTACCTCGCCTACTCCACTAACAGGGTACGTTCCGGTAGTACCAAGGGAGACATAGACCCTATCAGCCTGTATAACATCAAACGCCATAAACATGTTAATAATGCCTAGAGGTATTGTGGGTTTATCTTATCGCGATTTATTTATAGCACAAGATGGTCGAATGTTAAAACAGAATCTGCTATTAAAAATTAGCTGTATACAAAAAATTATTGTTACTTAAATGTAACTTTGCATAACTACATTTAAGGTTTTATTATCCTACAGGTAACATTGCATAGTTGAAAGTTTATGCGCATATAAATAACTTAATGTAGTATCGTATATTCATGCCATGCTGATAGCTTTGTATAGCTAAAAGTTTGTATATCTACAAACAACTTGGTATAGCTATTGCGCACTTATCAGCAACTTTGTATAGCTTCTAATTCAAATGTGTATGTATACGTGTAATATGTTACATGGCTCTGTAAGCGATCCACTTACCGGCTCATCATTAAAGAAGATCAAGAGTAGATTATTTACAATATCCTGAAATAAACAAACATTATGAAACACATTAGCTCACTTGTGATTTGTGGTATTTCTTCACAACCACTATAACTATCGAACAAATGACTATAAACTACACTAATGAATATACAATGAACAGTGCTAAACACTCCCAAGTACCATTTACAAAATGTTCTTCATCAGCTATTAATATGCATAATCTATTCACTTAATTACAATCACTAACGAGATTATCGGGAGTCTTCACTAATCGATATATCATCCAACCACAATTTATTACAATTTACTTAGGGTGTAGGCCGTAGGGCTAAGTTGACAAATGTCATTATATGAGCAATGTGTTTGCACAAAAACAAAATCTATTTGCATATGTGTTCATGCATTTTCTAGGGGGAGGGAGTGTTCTCAATGTATGTATGCACATTCCGATGAACGCATGTACAGTATGTATGTACATCAGTGTTTCCCCTGCATTGACACAGCGAGGCGCGCCACCTCGCTCAAATTTTCAGCAGCCACACAGAAATTTGTCCAAAACACCGCCTCGCTGACGAAAATCACTGTTCTTCCATCAATAAATTACACGTTATTGAACTAAAATCGAAATAATAGCTTAGAATCCATCAAACTACACCATTTTTTCAAAAAATTTCCAAGGGGGATGCCCCCTGACCCACCTAGCTGGGCGAGCACCTTCTTTGCTAGGACCTCGAAATGCGCAAACACACCAAAAAAATATTTACCACCTCGCAGACCTTTTTGGCCGGGGGAAACACTGCACATTACGTGTCTAGGTTCACAAATGTTACGTGCTACCTACGGGATCTGCTATGATGTCCATGGCAGGCATCAGCACCTTAGACACTACCATCTCTGCCAGCACTGCAGAAATCGCTCTGGAAAAGACACCACCACGCTTCATTACTGTCCGGCCTCTATTCACATTAGCTCATTTCACCATACCTAATATATACCATACTCATTCACCTAGTATCACCACATGCTATGATGATACACATCACGATCAATAATAAAAATCGTAGTTGTATGCAAACTGGTCGTAGTGGTCAAAATGCAAACGAAATTCGTATAAAATACAGATAAATCGTAGTGGTTGGCATCTCTGATATTGTACTGTACCGGTACAGCACTTGACCACTTGAAAACTTGTGTCTTAGTATACTGGCTAGTTGCAGGATATACGGTATCAGAAGTAGATAACAGGGAAGGAGTGTGACTTCAATAAACAAGGGAAATTCGTCATATACTAGCCTTAGAATACCTACGATTTACTACGCGTAACTCAAGCAACTTGAGCTCAAATCGTACACAGTACATTCGCCTAGCATCGTGCGAAATTGTTTCCTCGTATACACCCGCAATCCGGAGATATATACAGACTAAAACGTACGACATGATTTTCCATTATGTTGCCAGCAAACTGAATGTATAAACCGCCTAAATTGAAACAAAAGGCAGCTACTAGCGAGCCACACCGCATCGCCGAGGGAGCAAGTGCGCAAGAGCTGCCTTTTGTTTAAATTTAAGCAGTTTATACATTCAGTTTGCTGGCAACATAATGGAAAATCGTGTCGTACGTTTTAGTCTGTATCTCCGGATTGCGGGTGTATATGAGGAAACGATTTCGCACGATGCTAGGCCTATGTACTGTGTACGATTTGTGCTCAAGTTGGTTGAGTTACGTGTAGTAAATCGTAGGTATTCTAAGGCTAGTAAATGACGAATTTCCCATATTTATTGAAGTCACACTCCTTCCCTATTATCTACCTCTGACGGTATGTATATCTGCACTGTACTACCATTCCCAAATCCGAAAAATTCTGAATTCCAAAACGTGTCTGGTCCCAAGGGTTTCGGATAATAGATTGTGTGCTGTATTAACAGCAGATCTTAGTCAGGCGAAGAATGACAGCTGGACATAGATAAATGGTCAAGGACACAAGAAGCTGGAATAACAATCAATGTGATACTTGTGTCCTCACCAAAACTGCTTACAGATAATGCATTAACTTAGGGTACCCACATATTTATTTGAATTTTTTATAAAGCAATTTGAGTTATACTGCTTTCTTTAATAGCATATCTAGCACAATACGCTATTTAAACGATGTCAACATATCAATATACCAAATAAAATTATTAGAATGGTAGGCAGCCACTAACAATAGTGGTTGTATCAATACACTATAATAAGGTTAGATTTCATGTATGTATCTACGAGCATACACAGACTGTGACATATTTATCTAATACATGATTGAACTTTTTCTCTCGAAATAAATGAACATGCGATTTTTGTTGTCACGTTGGCTTTTTTTAAAGCATTGACCTCACCCAGTCACCCCTCAGATATATACGTATTTGATACTCACATTTTTAACTTTTGGTCGCATATCTTTATTAATACGAAGAATGAGATTCTCCAGCAAAGGCACAAGGGGTGAAGGAGGTTCATGACTAACAGTCATCTAAAAGAGAACACATACAACACTACTGTAGTACATAGGAAACATGGCTGTATAACGCTGCCAGGGTCTACGTCTCCCTGGGTACTGCCGGAACGTACCCTGGGTACGGTCCAGTATACTGGAACGTACCCTGGTACTATCTAATATGCCGGACCGTACCTCGCCTACTCCACTAACAGGGTACGTTCTGGTAGTACCCAGGGAGACATAGACCCTATCAGCCTGTATAACATCAAACCCCATAAACATGTTAATAATGCCTAGAGGTATTGTGGGTTTATCTTATCGCGATTTATTTATAGCACAAGATGGTCGAATGATAAAACAGAATCTGCTATTAAAAATTAGCTGTATAAAAAAAATTATTGTTACTTAAATGTAACTTTGTATAACTACATAAGGTTTTATTATCGTACAGGTAACATTGCATAGTTGAAAGTTTATGCGCATATAGGTAACTTAATGTAGTATCGTATATTCATGCCATGCTGATAGCTTTGTATAGCTAAAAGTTTGTATATCTACAAACAACTTGGTATAGCTATTGCGCACTTATCAGCAACTTTGCATAGCTTCTAATTCAAATGTGTATGTATACGTGTAATATGTTACATGGCTCTGTAAGCGATCCACTTACCGGCTCATCATTAAAGAAGATCAAGAGTAGATTATTTACAATATCCTGAAATAAACAAACATTATGAAACACATTAGCTCACTTGTGATTTGTGGTA